TCTGTCTGTCTGTCTGAGGCTCGCCTGTCTGTCTGTCTCCCGCAGTTTAAGCAGATTTCCCAAGCTTACGAAGTGCTGTCGGACCCCAAGAAGAGGGACCTGTATGATAAAGGAGGCGAGCAGGCCATCAAAGAGGGCGGCTCCGGTGGTGGCTTCGGGTCACCCATGGACATATTCGATATGTTCTTTGGTGGCGGTGGGAGGATGCAGAGAGAGAGACGAGGTAACTCAATGTGCCGCTTTCCGATGCTTTCCCAGGCTTTACCGCGTAATCGCTGTGTTGGACGGGATCAAGAGTCTCTGAGGAGAATGCCGTAGACGTAAGACTTTAAATAGCGTTAAAATGGAGTTACTGGCTTGCTCTCAAAATCGGAGAAATCGTGGTCCCTAGCTCTTAACACCTGTAATGAGCAGGGGAGGGCATTTGGCTCGTACAGTGGCAGTTTGGTCTCGCGTTAATAGCTAACCAGAGTCCGTGCTTTTAAAGCCTTTGGCGGAGCATAAGCCCCGCTGCTAGTAGGCTGAATAGGAAATGGAATGCTAAATTACCTTAAAATGTTTTGGTTTGGTTTTTTTTTCCCACTAAGCTACCATAAGTGTAGTGTCCAAAGGTGAATTTGGTCTTTAATTGTGAGTAACTATATCTAAATAAGATAGCCAGATCAAATTCAGTCTGTGAAACTGTTTTGTTTTCCTGTGTTTTCAGTGGAATTGAGCTGAAGCTGCAGTAGAATGCTGCTCAAAAATGAAAGTCCAGATTAATCACACTGGGAAAGACTAGTGTTAATTAAACTGTTGAAGAGTAGTGCTGACCCTGTCACCTCTTAGGTTAGACCTGGTGACAAAGGGAAGAAAAAAGAGTCTGTATCAAAATGTTACAGTATTGTATCAAAGTATTCATAGTAAGCTAGAAATTGGTATCCTGTTACAAAATTAAACGTGCAAAATTAGCTAGAGTTCTAATTAATTCCTGAGTGTATGAATGTAATTGCTTAGTTCAGTTTCTAGAAACTACCCTGGTGAGAGGAAGAAAGTACTCTGCTGACACTAGGCATTGTCTCCCACTTCCTTGTAGAAGACACGTTCAGTCACTGTGTTAAAACTGAAGTCCTGCGTTATAAAACTGAAGTGTCTAAGTTTCTACGTATTTTGTTTCTGTTATTGTTTGTGCTTTCACAGAACAGTCTCTGACTTACTCAAACAGAGAAGCATTACTGACAAAGCCATTAGAATTGTTGCTGAATTTGACATCAGATAGGAAGGGGCTATTGAGTAATACCAGCAAAACAAGGCAAAACTATATTAGAACAGGATGTTAAAACTCATAGGCTTGGTTTATTGTGATGTGAGCATAGTCACATGGGAAATTTGCTGTTACTTGGAGACCAAGCTTTCAAACTTGAGTAAATACCTGTTTTCTTTTATAGGCAAAAATGTAGTACACCAGTTGTCAGTAAGTTTAGAAGATATGTACAATGGTGCAACGAGGAAACTTGCACTGCAGAAGAATGTTATCTGTGACAAATGCGAAGGTAGCTGTGAAGCCAAACACAAGTTGCTGCTAAAGCTTGGGCGGGGGGTGGATTCTGGCAGCACATAACCATTAGCCTCCAATTTTCATTCTCCCCAGGTCGTGGTGGTAAGAAAGGTGCGGTAGAATGCTGTCCTAATTGCAGAGGAACAGGCATGCAGATCAGAATTCACCAGATCGGGCCAGGAATGGTGCAACAAATCCAGTCCGTGTGTATGGAGTGCCAGGGGCACGGGGAGCGTATCAGCCCCAAGGACCGGTGTAAGAGCTGCACTGGCAGGAAAATTGTGAGAGAGAAGAAGATACTAGAAGTTCACATTGACAAAGGTGAGGTGTCTTGCTAAGAGGAAGTGTTGAACTTGGATGTACTGACTGACTTTGCAGCACTAAAACAGAAGCTTTAGCAAATGCATGGTGTCGATTTGGTGAGTAACACTGCTGAATATATAAACAGTAAAATTGCCTGTTGCTGCCTGTAAAAAGTAAGAGACTTGTTCTTAGGGAAGGTTGATTGCTTCTGCGTTTGCATCTAATACTAGTGCACGTAACTAAGAGTGAATTCTGAAACCTGTAGTATTGTAAGCGGTGAATTAATTTTAAGCAACCTTACAAGCGCAAGTCTTGGTCAGGTAGCTGGACCAATTAAAAGAGAACTCATCGTTTGTTGGCTCAGCTTGCCTAATGAGTTCTGCTGTGTTTCAGTGTGAAGGGGAACCAGGTCTGCTATAGTAATAGGGTGCAGAGACAGTGCTAAGCCTCTCGTGCTTAGAACTCTGTCTGCTATGCAACCCTGACAGTGCTGCGCAGTGCAGCTACGCTCTGCCTGGCAAAATGCATCCCTCTTGAGGAGGGTGCGCAGAAGCTGGTGGGAGAAGTCTCTGGTGTAATGCAGCTTGTAAGACAGAGCAGGCTGACAAGCACGTGGCTTCTACAGGCTGGTGCCTGATTATCACTTGCAACTGTTGTGTGTGTAAGGACACCTTATGCAATGCCTGGATTTGTTTTTAACAGGGAAAATCCTGCAGTAACGTTACATGTGAGGGCTAGTAAGGATATGTTAGTGACATTTTAAAGAGGGAAATCACTGAGAAGAGTTTCGTTTCCCTTCCTTACAGAAAACCAGACTGTGAGCTAGCGTGAGGCATGTAGAACTTGCAGTGGAGAGACTTTTGTGTGGGTGAGACAGGTTTCTTACATGATGGTTACAGTCCTAGGGAGAGTGCTTCTTGTATTCGGCAGGCACTGAGATCATGTTTCATAGGTAGCTCTGCCACATATAAAACTGAAGAAGCTGATTGGTTACCTGTTCCCAATGTATTTTGTACGCAGTGGTTCTGTTTTCTTTTTAGAGCTTGTGTGTAGAATGAAAGCTGTCTTTGGTAATATTTTTCTTAAGGACTTTATCGTGGCAGGTGGCTGTTTTGCAACACAAGCTTTATAATCTTGAGACCTAGTTCAGGTTGGCACCACTAAGCTCTGTTGGACATGTGAGTGGTTTTACAGAAATCATGAATGCGTCAAGGGAAGGTCCTGATGTTCTAATTTAAAGATCCAGAGATCTCTTGGTACCAGCTAGTGCCTATAAGAATATTTCTTACTACCATTTTTCACTTAAAAAGATGAAAAATATTTGCGTGTTTGTTCTCTGCAACAGGAATGAAGGATGGTCAGAAAATAACATTCCATGGTGAAGGGGACCAAGAGCCAGGACTAGAGCCAGGGGACATTATTATTGTCTTGGATCAAAAAGACCACTCTCTATTTACAAGGTAAGAACTCTGGAAGTTCTTTGTGTTCCTTGTCTATTTGCTTCCTTGGTAACCACTCACCTCTTACCCACTGGAAGTACCAGTAGATAGGATCACATGGCTAGAATTCACCTGTGAGTTTGGGTGGGTGGCCGGAGGAGCACTGAGTGTGCAGGAATCCTGGTACAACTAATCACAGCTGCTTGTGTTCTGGTAGTATGAGATAGTCTTACGTGGAATTTGTTAGTGAAAGGGGATGGAAGGCAAAGAAAACTAGTTACAGTTGCTAAGAGTTTTTGAGAACTCTTAAAATACTGAGATTTTGTTTAATATATATGAATATTTGTGATTATTTTCTTCCTCTTTCTAGAATAGTGCTCCATCACTTACTTCAGAATATTATTTAGTGTAGGCAGCTGTTCATTGCCCACTTGGCTTCAAGGCACAGAGAGCTGCTAGTGTGTTCTCTTATCCTCAGGGATCTTATTCATGACAAACTTAATGAATATAACATCCACCCTTCTGACCAAAGGTGGTTTCTCACACTTCATTTCCTGCCTGAATGCACTGGGCAGGGTAATCAGTCCTGTCTGTTCTTTCTTGCAAAAACAAAAGTGACTCAAGCAGCGTTGACTGTGGTTTGAATATTTTGTGTTACTGGACAGTACTGCTCGATTCAAGTTACTGTGTGTGGAAGGAGTCTGTCCAGTACATTTTGGTCCGATTAAAAGCAACACTGGTCATCTCACAGAAATGTGTTGTGCTTGGTGTCTCACTGCTGCTGTTCAGAGCAGTAAAAAGGGAGTTGGTGGGTTTAGAGAAAGCATTTGTCTCAACACCAACCACTGGCACTGTACTTGGAAATAGGAACGGTGAGTCAAAGGTTCTTGGGAAACCTGCAGCTGGCCTGCCTGACAGTCCTTCGTGGTGCTGAACTCTGGAGGTTGGTGCCAGAACTCTGTGCCAAGGAACACTGAGCTCACAGGCTAAGAGTCAAGTTCTGTTTGCTTTGGACAAGCTTACTTAGCTGATTTTTCTTAACTTCCAGTGAAACCAGATACTTAATCTGCCATGCCAAAGGGACAGTCTGGGCCAAACTGTTTGCATGGTTACATGGGACTTGAAGTCGAAACTCTAGTGGGTTATTTTTGTCTGTCTTTCTGCCCACTGCCTTCAGATCTAGTGTCCTTAGATAACGCTTGATACTACTCGTCTTGTGGGGTTGTGCTGAGGCCATGCTGCTTCTGGGACGAGTGGAATGTTCCCCTGCTCCCATCAGAGTCTAAAATAAACTTTTTGGGCAAGTCTCCTTCCAGAGACCTTTAGAACAGGGTGAGTGAAATAACCAAGTTCTTTAAGTAGGCTGGAGGATTTTGTAGCCCTTGAACATGCAGTGCACGCAGACATCACTAGCACTGCCATACTGAAGTCAGAGTAGGCAATTAAAACAATTACATCCTCTCTTCCAGATACTTTTTGATGCTTTCTAGAAGGTACTTTCATCATAACCCAGAGTGGCCATCACCTGTTCAAACTTCCCTAGTACCAGATCTTCAGAATGCGAGTGTAACGGAATAATGTAGAGCTAGCTGATGCACTGGAGAAAGTATTAATCCACATAAAGGGAGGGATTAATTATCCCAGTTGCAATGTTCAGGAGGCGGAGAGATAACTTTACTAGAATTGGGAAGGAGCACTGAAGTGAAACTGGATGCAATTGAGCCTTGCTGTATTTATTTATTTTCAGTAGAACACTCCTACACTTTGGATAGCTAGACTTGATCAGTAATGGCTCTCAGCATGGGTATCACTCCTGTAATGGCCTGCATGAGGTGCTGCCTCAGTATTCAGTGTTCTCTATTTAATTGTCCAGGCTTATATTGATATTGCAGCTTTATTGTCCTTGTCAAGTTAAATACTGAAGTTGAGTATGATGCTTTTACTGCTTCTCCCTCCCTGTGACTGTTGTTGATTGCTCCTGCCTTAGACGAGATGAAGACCTCCTTATGTCTATGGATATTCAACTGGTTGAAGCACTATGTGGCTTTCAAAAGCCTATCACAACGCTGGATAATAGGACTATTATTATTACCTCCCATCCTGGTAAGTGTTGATTTGCTTTCTGCTAAAAGTCCAAGCATACAGTGAATGTAACCTGAAAGTTTAAAAGAACAGAAGCATCCCACCTTTATGTACAAGGGATGTGTGCTGGTATCAAGCTTTTTTCCCCTAGTCTTTGCAGTACAAATCTTTAAACAAAAAAGGATTTTTTGATAGCAGTCAGCAGTAACTTTCTCTTTGCGTGATATAGTAACAGACCTTACCTCATGGACATACTTGTATCCTGAGGATGCCTCATGAGAATTGAAGGCCTTGGGTCTCTGAAGACCACTTTTTCAGCCTTGGAACTGATGGAGCACTTAATAAATTTGTAAGTATGCTTCCCAAAGGAAGCATAATGATGTTACAAGAAGGTAACGTAGACATCAACCTGCTTTCCTACTCAGAAATTACGAGGCAGTGAATCCCTGTTAGACTACTACATATTGGTGTAGCTGTCTAACTACAGTGCAGAAGGTTACATAAATACTGAAAGGAGTTAAAACTAAAGCTGCTTCTGATGCTTGCATGGATCCCTTCCTTTTTTTGATCTTTTTGTAGGCCAGGTTGTCAAGCATGGCGCTATTAAGTGTGTGTTGAATGAAGGTATGCCAATTTATCGCAGACCATATGAGAAAGGACGTCTGATCATAGAATTCAGGGTAAGTAGGTCAGCTTATTTCCATGGCACAGTTCAGCACTGAATATCTGTCCAAAATTTAGCCTCTAAGCACTATCTCAAGAAGAGATACCAGTTATCAGTTGTCCTGGTTTGGTATTTGTTGTTGACAATGGTGAGAACATGTAAACCACCAAACAGAATTACAGTTCAGAACAAACAAAAAACTTCTGGAACACTCTGTGCTGAAAGTACTTCAAGTACCAGAAGAATTTCTTTGGATACCTTGTGAATTTCTATTTGCTTGACACGTCCTTTAGTTTACGTCATCCTGTAGGAAGGATGGCTTAGTAACTTCCCCTGTGCTGGAGCAAAGGAGTGGGCTGGAAAGTGCTTGTTCCCTCTCTGGAGAGAAGCTAATGCTGGGAGCTGTGGCAGCAGGCTCTGTCTGCTGCAGTTTCAGAGGAGATTCAACCATAGCTGTAATGTTGATACACCCTGTCCTTGGCTTCTAGGGTGATTCCAGAGGGCAGCCTGAGGCAGAAGAAATGTTGGATAAGACTTGGTTAAGCTGACAGGGTTAGAAGTTAACTTCTGGCAGGCATTAAAAAATAGCCCAGTGAGTTAGATATTTATTTTCTTTTTAAGTGCTGAGTTTAAGTCATCTGTGATAATAAAGTGGACTTTGGCAGGTACTTGACCTGTAGTGGGATAGAAAAAGGCCCATTCAAGCAGACTCAAGTAACTCCATTTCTTCATGTTTTCAGGTGAACTTCCCAGAGAGTGGCTTCCTCTCCTCAGATAAGCTGTCTTTACTTGAAAAACTGCTACCTACAAGGCAGGAAACTGAAGAAACTGAGGAAATGGAGCAGGTGGATTTAGTGGACTTTGATCCATCTCAAAAAAGAAAACACCACTATAACGGAGAAGTCTATGAAGATGATGAGCATCACCCTAGAGGCGGTGTTCAATGTCAGACATCATAAATGGGCCAGTGAATAACTTGTGATGCTTGTTTTGTATGCGTTAGTGGATGAGTGAAGAACTACAAGTAGTACACCCTCACTTCCTGCTATTTGTTGTTCTATCCAGCCATAGCTGTTTTTGAAAGCATAAAGAGATAAACTAAGTAATTAAAATGACTTTGCAATTTGCATAAAGCTCCAGGATGCAAGCTCAATGAAGTTGATTGCACTTCACCCCTGCCTCTTGGTCAAGAAAACTCCCTTACCTGCTTGTCTTTTGTTCCAAGCCCTGTAATTCCTGTATGCCTGTATGTGTGCAATTGCCCAGGCTTAGGCTAAGATTGTGGTGTTCTTTTTAGGAATTCTAGATCTTATACTCTGTTAATAAAGTATGCACAAGTACTTACTCATGGTAAGATATAGTTAAGTTTTGTACCCGTTAGGATAACATGTTAATGTTTTGGGCTTGTACTGATGTTTGTTCAGTAGGGACTGGCAACCATGTAATACATGAAGCTGACAAGGATGTGGTCGGTCTTCACAGGCCCATTAAAGTCATGTGATCCACAAGCTCTCTGATGCTACTGCACTTAAGGTCGAATAGTCCCTTCCTCTGCCAGCTTAGGTCCTGACCCTGGAGCTAGATGTGAAGCTTGCTTTCTTCATCGCTGGCTGCTCTTTGCCTGCTGTCCTGCACCATACTGCATATAGAGCCAGTGGTTGCCTGGCTGCTGCAGGAGCTTCCTTTGCTACCACGCATGAGTAAAAACCTCCAGGCTTTGTCAGCACACATGCGGTTTGGAGTCTGTCAGCCTGCTGGCGTGTGAAGCTTGACTTCCACCTTGATTGCTGAGATCAGATACCCCTCAGTGGTGTGGCGTGGAAAGCAGTACCAGCCCTGTTGGTGGGCGTATGTGAACCTGCAGAGGAGAGAAACTTGCTGTCAGTGAATACAACCAACTGATGCATCTAGGATGTTTTGAAATTAATGTATTGTGTGCATTATTTTAAGCTGACTCTTGAAAAATTCTGTATGAATGTTCTAATTATTGTAGATGAAGCATTTCCAATATAATAACAAAATTGTTCATTGCCTCTTTTCTTAGACCAGATGTTGATTTAAAGACACCACCCCCTTCTTTTTAGACAGCTATTCACACAAAAATCTTAGCAAAACACTTCTTTCGGAAAACATGCTGAGAAGGCAAGTCCACATTTAACCTCTAGTATGGTAGTTTAGTATTGCTCTGCCATCTGGCTTGGGACAGCTTATGCTTGTTCTGCTCTGCAGCAAAAGTGGCTTGAAGAGAACTCAGTTTTTCTTCCTGCAAATAGCTGCTAAATGACAGTACATGTGTTGTAATGTGAATATCTGGAAACCGTTAGTCTATAAAACATCTCTAGGTCTTGTAAGCATTACAGGTTTCATTTTATAAAGACAGCTGGTATTATGGGTTTTGTACCTCAAATGTATTTCCCTTTTGGGTACCTACAGAGCAGTGATCCCCCACATGTTTCACCTACTCTTTTTTTTTTTTTTTTTTTTTTGCTTTTTTTGTCTCAGCAAGATTAAAATTCTGTAAGCAAATTGTCTTTCCACATTCTGCTTGAATGAGCTCATCAATGAGCTGTATAAAGGTGACCAGCAGGAACCTTTGCTGTATCAGAGGGACAGTTTGGCTGAGTCAAGGGGAAGAACAGAAGGTAGCCCTAATTCTGGCGAGGGCAGAGACTCCTGCACGACTGCCTCGAGACTAAACAGCACTAAAATACTTTTTTTTCAGTTCGGTAAGCACCCTTGTTTCTTTTTTCACTTAAGCACTGTATCAAAACAGATAGGGCAGCCACATCTCAGTGCAGTGCCTTGAGGGTGACAACAGGACATCATTTGGCTTCAGATGATAGTCTGTTACATAAAAAAACATTCCATAGCGGGTTTTTTTCCCTCCAGGGACACTTCCATTTTCCTTTCACCACACCCATAGCTGCATCAACACAGTGGAGGTAATGTTTCTGCTCTTGACTTACTTGACTTAGTCTGTGGTGGCCAGTTCTGCTTCATGCTTGAATTCACCACAGCTAGTTGAGCGGATGGCTCAGGCCTAGCTTCCAGGAGGGTGGCTGACCAGAAGCCTTGGCAGAGCAGCCCAGGAAAGGGTGCTACCACTGATGTGGGAAGGGCAGCAGATACACCACCAGATTCACATTCTGCTTTGAGATGACCTAGTGACTGACGTAAAAGCTATGTCCCAAAAAAATACACTGGCAGCAGTAGAGGAAGCCTTCAGCAAAAAACACTAGCAGATCAAGGCAAAAGCTAGCAAGGAGGACCTAGCACTTAGACCTTCAAGCAGGATATTGAGTACAATATATGGTCTCTTCCAAGCTTCTTAGTTCTCCCGTAATATTCTGGGTATCCTGCAGCTACAGCAAGCAGAAGAACATGTTCTGTGCCACTGAAAAATAAGACAATTTTTTCTGACTTCTTGTTGCTCTACCTGGGATACAGTTTCCCATTTTGGGGAATGAACTGAATGGACAGCTGTAGAAATCAAGGATACCCTACCACAAAACACGCGCTTCCAGAACTACCAGTGCAGTAATCCAACTTATCAACCTGAGCTGATGTTTGCAATTACTTCAGTATTTCAGTTTCAACATCACCAAATTCATATCACCAAGTCTTAATGTCTTTAGTATCATTACCAGTCATCTGGATGAGGGGATTGAGTGCTCCCTCAGTAAGTTTGCAGATGACACCAAGCTGGGTGGGAGTGTCGATCTGCTTGAGGGTAGAAAGGCTCTGCAGAGGGATCTGGACAGTCTGGAGTGGTGGGCCGAGGCCAACTGTATGAGGTTTAACAAGGCCAAATGCCAGGTCCTGCACTTCGTTCACAACAACCCCATGCAATGCCACAGGCTTGGTGAAAGCTGCCTGGTGGAAAAGGATCTTGGGGTGCTGGCTGACAGCCAGCTGAACATGAGCCAGCAGTGTGCCCAGGTGGCCAAGAAGGCCAACGGCATCCTGGCCTGTGTCAGGAATGGTGTGGCCAGCAGGAGCAGGGAGGTGATCGTGCCCCTGTACTCAGCACTGGTGAGGCTGCACCTCGAGTACCGTGTTCAGTTTTGGGCCCCTCACTACAAGAAAGACATTGAGTTGCTGGAGCGTGTCCAGAGTAGGGCAATGAAGCTGCTGAGGGGTCTGGAGAACAAGTCTTACGAGGAGTGGCCGAGGGAACTGGGGCTGCTCAGTCTGGAGAAGAGGAGGCTGAAGGGGGACCTTATCGCTCTCTACAACTGCCTGTAAGGAGGTTGTAGTGACTCAGGTTTTGGTCTCTTCTTCTATGTAACTAGTGATAGGATGAGAGGCAACGGCCTCATGTCACATCATGGGAGGTTTAGATTGGATATTAGGAAAAATTTCTCCACAGAAAGAGTGGTCAGGCATTGGAATAGGCTGCCCAGGGAGGTGGTGGAGTCACCATCCCCGGAGGTGTTCAAAAAGCATGTAGATGTGGCACTTCAGGACATGGTTTAGTTGGTAGTGTTGGGTGGATGGTTGGACTTGATGATCTTAGAGGTCTTTTCAAACTTTAAAGATTCTATGATTCTATGATTCTATTCTAAGTCTATAGTCTACTCAATTACAGTGATTCTTTCCACTGTGTGTCAGGCATGTAGGACTTCTTGTTTTTTTTCCCAAAAAATCTAGCACGTCCACTATTCCACGTGTTTACTGTGAAACTGAGAACACTCAATCCGGACTTGTTTAAGAGCCTGCTCTCATTTTTGCTTTTACCTGTAAGACTTCAGTGCCCTAACTGTCCTCACCTCCCTGTGCTTTGTCTGCCTACTACCCAACAGCAGCACAAGAAGTTTCCTCAGCTCAGGGAGTAAACTCAATGATCCCAAATCTGCTTTGAACTTGCCGTGTGATGCAAGGTGGAGTAAGCAAGCAGCTTGCCCTATGTCTTTTTCATTAGCAACTTCATCTGGGAAGACGTGTTCCTGCTTCCTTTTGTGATTGTTTGGTGCTCAAAGCATTAGTGAGGCACACTGAGAGGAGCAAGGTTTGATTTAAGCCATCCTTATCCAAAACCACAGACAAAGAAACACCAGGTTCCATGTTTTCTTAGGAGGTAAGAGAAGCACTATTATAGTGCCCAAAGAATCAGGGATTTCAACCACCCTGATATCTGCTGGCAGGACAACACAGCAGGACATTATCAATCCAGGACTATCCTGTAGTGCATCAGTGAGAACCTCCTGCCCCAAGTAATAGAGGAGCCAATGAGGAGAAGTTCTCTGCTGGACCTTGTCCTCACTGGGACTGTGAACGCCAAAGGCAGCCTGGCCTGCAGTGACCATAAGATGGTGGAGTTCAGGATCCTGAGAGGAAAGAGGGGCGTAAAAACAAAAGCTCTGGACCCTGGACTTCAGGAGAGCAGACTTTGGTCTCTTCAGAGATCTGCTTGGAAGCATCCCATGGATTAAGGCCCTGGAGCGAAGAGGAGCCCAAGAAAGCTGGTTAATATTCAAGACCCTCCTCCTCCAGGCTGAAGAGCAGTCCATCCCAGCAAATAGGACATCAGCAGAAGTGCCAAGATGTCTGAGTGGACAAGCAAGGAACTCCTGGCCAAACTCAGAAGCATCCAGAGGGTGTAAGCAAGAACAGGTAAGTTGGGAGGAACATGAAGATGACATTTCAGCATGCAGGGATGAAGTTATAAAAGCTAAAGCTCAGCTGGAGTTGAATCTGGTCAGGGTTGTCAAAGACAACAAGAAGGGCTTCTGTAAGTACATAGGTACAAAAGGCCAGGGAAAATGTGGGCCCTTTGCTGAATGAGACGGGGGGAACGTGGTTACACGGGACATGGAAAAGGCTAGGTACTGAATGCCACCTTTGCCTCAGTCTTACTCGCAACACTCGCCTTCAGGAATCCCAGGTCCCAGAGACCAAGGGAGAAGTCTGGAGCAAGGAAGATGTACCCTTGGTGGAAGAGGATAAACTCAGGGAAGACTTAAGTAAACTGGTCATATGTAAGTCCATGGGCCCTGGTGGGATGCACCCACAAATGCTGTGGGAGATGGCAGATGTCATTGCGAGGCCACTCTTGATAATCTTTGATCTATCATGGTGACTGGGGAAGTGCCCAAAGACTGGAGGAAAGCAAATGTCACCTCTGTCTTCAAGTAGGGCAAGAAGAAGGATCCAGGGAACTAAATGCTTGTAAGCCTCACCTCGATCCCTGCAAAGGTGATGGAGCAGCTAATCCTAGAAACTATTTCCAGGCACATCAACAAGAAGAAAATCATCAGTAGTAGTCAGCATCGCTTCACCAAGGGGAAGTCACGCTTGACCAACTTGATAAACATCTACAATGAAATAAGTCTACCACTGGCCTGGTAGATGAGGGCAGAGCAGTGGATATTGAGTACCTGGACCTCAGTAAGGCCTTTGACACCATCTCCTGTGAGATGCCCACAGAAAAGCTGTTGGTGTATGGGATGGATAAGCAGATAGTGAGGTAGACTGAAAACTGGCTGAACGGCCAGGCCCAGAGGGTGGTGATCAGCTGCACAATGTCTAGCTGAAGGTCAGTAACTAGTAGTGTACCCCAGGGGCCAATATTGGGTGTAGTCCTGTTCAATATCTCCAGTAATGATCTGCATGTTGGGGAAAAGTGTACCCTCAGCAAGCTTGCAGATGACACAAAACGGGGAGAAGTAGCTGACACGAGACAGGGTTGTGCTGCCATCCAGAGAGACCTGGACAGGCTGGAGAAATGGGCTGACAGGGACTTCATGCAGTTCAACACTGGGAAGTGCAAAGTCCTGCATGTGGGGAGGAACAACCGCAGGCATGAGTGTGTGCTGGGGGCCACCCAGCTTGCAAGCAGCTGAGCAGAGAAGGAACCCGGAGGTCCTGATGGACGCCAAGCTGAACGTGAACCAGCAATGTGCCCTTTTTGGAAAGAAGGCTGATGGTTATGCTCCCTTCACTTCAGCAGCATCCATCTCCTTCTGTCTTGCTCCACGGGTAGCCAAAGCATTCCCACGTGTGATTCCTACTCTGCCTCTGAAATAAAGCACTAAGCCACCTTTCTTCTTAGGATTCGCCCACAGCCTATGCTTTTCCCCCTGACATTCAGATGCAGCTTTGCTCAGCCTGTGTCTCCCAAGTCACCATGATCCGCAAGGTCAGAGGGTTTATTCACAGCTATCCAATGAACACACACTGGAGCCCGCATCACCAACAGGGACTGGAAATGGAGTAACCATGCCTAACTCCCAAAACTCATGCTGACATTAGGCAGAAAGTGATGAAAAGCTGTACCTGAAGAGAGTTTATAGCTGACTTCTAGCATCATCTTTCCTATAAATCTCTGCAACGTATTTTCTTTCTCTTCCTAATTGCGACCTAACACTGGTGTTACCAAGCTGCCTCAAATCAGAGGCAGGCCTTCTCACCCAAGCTTGTGGTTCTAAATCCTCAGCAACAGGCAGAATCACGGATTCACAGGGGCCGGCAGACACCTGTTGAGATCATCTGTTATCTCAGACCTCAGGAGAATTTGGCTGCTTTGTAAGACATTCACAAAGGATCTTTTCCTTTTCAGATCAAGTCTTCAGTTTTCAGCTGGTCTCCAAATCTCACTAGGGCTCAAGGGAGGGTTTGATTCTTCTCTGCAGATGGCAAGGTGGTAGTGGTACCAGAGCAGGACTACACCCCTTCTCTACAGGCTCATGTGTTACTTGAACAAAGTATTACCCCAGTAACATTTTAAAAAAAAAAAGTTACATCCACCACTTGCATAACTGTGCAGGAACCTAAGCTCGCGTGTTTTTTGCTGAGATGGCAGCAGGTCTTCCACAGACATTCTGCAACCATGCACAGACAGGCAGCTGCCTCCACCTGAGCAAGGCTGAAATTCATTGATCCCCAGTTCAGAAACAGGAGGATGAACTGGCCTAGGAGCATTTCACTACATGGCACTCCCCTCACAAAGCATTTTGCGCTCCTCTATGTATATATAGGGAACTCGCCAGCTCCAAGGAAAATGATTCAAGAATAAAACACGGCCCATGGGTCAACAATGCTTTTTTAATTTTAGTTAAAGCACTAGATGTTGCCTTCTTCAAGTCTTACACACGTGTAAGTGGCGTAGCACCTGGCTGATTCTCCAAGGAGAAAATGTCTTCCTAGATTACATTAAAAAATTTACATTTAAAATAAAAACATTTTCAATATTATAATTGCATTTTTGTGTCAAGTGCCAGCTATTTTACAAATTACAACTGCAGCCAAGGAGGTAAGTTTTACCATTGCCCTTTCATAAGTGTTAGTACATTTTGCTTTATTGTCTTGAGTACTTGATACAATAAATTCTGAAACTCTTAAATAAAAAGCATAAGAAATGTCAGATTTCCCCACATTTTTAAGCTAGAGAATGTACTTCAATCTTTAATCATTCAAGATTCTGACAGTTTTATTTGTTACAACTACTTTTATTTTAATGACAATGTAGATATAGTTTACATTGAGGGTTAGCATTCTGTGTAATCTGAAGGTAAAATGAACCGCAAGTTAGATAATATTAAAAATATTCTGTTGAGATCTTCTCCTGTATCAAAAGTACTAATTGCCAGTGGAGCTTGTCAGATGTATTAATGTCAGGTGTTTCTGACACACCAGTGTCTTTTCAAGCAGGAAAAATAATCACTTTTTGCTATCCAAAAAATAACTTTATTGCCATATCTAAGGAAGTAAAAAACAACTCAGGAATTAAAACATTACAGCTAAACACAGAACTAAACACTACAACTGTAGTGAACACGCAATGCTATGTGAGAAGTTAAGCTGAAATTTTTCTGCATTTCCTTAGACCAACAGACCAAAGATCAACCATTCAAGTGCACCAGTCAGTGCTGAAGGAGGCCAGTCACCAGCTGCCAACCAACACCTGCATCAGGATCAAGCCCTCCAGCTGAAAAAAATCTTGAGGTTATTCAAATTGGAACTAATTTATTGAGTCAAAGAGAAGTTATTACTGTTTGAAACATTACTGTGGCAGGAAAGCATTCTACAAGAGATGAGGACAGGAAACAGTGCAGCAGATACAAATCTACATGTGTTTGTCTCATCATTACAGATACAACCTCATTTTTTGCTGCATCCTAGAAAAAGTATGGTCAGACTTTAGAAGATTCTGGTGTAGATTCACAACAGTGTGCATTAGTCAGGATCTCAAACACAATCATCATCTGTACCAAACCGAAGAGCCTGAAAGCTGCTTTTTATCATAGTGTGGGACCTAAGTATCACCTTAACTAGGTCCACAGGTATATGAAATTAAAAAAAAAAAAATCTTACAGATAATTATTTAAAGCTTAAGTATGCCATGCCCTTTTGGGAAAACAGGAAGCTAAGCTGAGTAAACTGGAAAAAAACAAACCAACTGCAGCACGTGCAGCACCACGGCACTAGGAGCTTGGCCTATGTAAACCGGCTTTTGCAGGTTTTAAAATATTGATCCCCTAAGGCCTGCTTCAGTTAAAGCTGCTCTGAAGACAGTATGCACTCATAGGAAGAGGGCCCAGGAAATAATTCCTTTTACCCTGGAAGTAAAGTAAAACAAAAGAAAAACAAACCCAAAAACAAACAAACAAAAAACCCCACCCCAACTATATCTCACTGCCACATTCAGCAGGTTTACAGCAGGAAGTGCAGAGAGATGGGGAAAAATAGTTCAGTTCTGAGGAATCTGTGTGACACTACTTAATAACTATAATGTTTCCAATTATACATAAAGTTGAACACAGCAAGACACACTGGACTAGGAAAGACTCTGCCTTCAAACCGAGAGCAGAGCATCCTCATCTGCATCCCAGGGAAACTGTGCCTTTGTTTCAGGAGTGGAGAAGAGACAGCTTGCCCGTTCCACATAATTCACTCCAATAAAAAAAGTATTTTACTGTATTCTAGGAAGTCAGCAACCACTTCTAAGTGTGTATATTTCCTAGCTCATTCAACTTTTATAAACACTGTTGGAAGAGCACAGACTTCAGGAGACAGAAAAAACACTCTCACTGAAGTTGCTTCAGCTACTCTGGTAAAAATAAAAGTATTTGAAATTAACTGATGCTATATTTAAGCATCAATCTACCTAACTTTAGACCAAGAAGTAAAAATGTCATTTTCTCAAAATCTGAACTGAAAATTGAGCAAATATCACACTCTGTGCATTTGTTAAAGCACAAACATCAACAACCTGCAACTAAGAGGCACACTTCATAGCTCACTGTAAAATCAAGCTATGGCTTCCAGAGCTTGAGGAGGCCATCTTCACTGTAAGTGGCAATCAGGTTCTGGTGGGGGTGATGAGCAATGCCAATGACATCTTTTTCATGAACCTAGAGAGGAAGTAGAAAGATGCATCAAGAGATTCGTTGTTTAGCAGGTTCAAGCCAAATATTCTGTTCGAACAAGACCTAGAGGAAAGCTGGAATGAGGTTTAACACGCTTTCTGCATATAGCAAAAGCAGAAGAACGTACCCTCCCCCGAGTATTAAGTTCCAGCTGCAACCAATTTTTGTGACATAGCAGTTACTTTTTGTTGGGTGAGGGAAGGTCCAGTGAAGGTTTACATCCACTGAAATCCACAGCATCTAAGCGTTCCCTGTTAAATTTAGACATTCAAGCTGGTATCCATCTTTAATCCAAGGCAAATTCAAGCCTGACAGCTTTAAATCTGACAGCTTGGTTGGATTCTCCATCAGCTTGAGCCCAGGTCAAGACATGCTCTAGTTCAAATCAGTTTGAACCAATTCGCTCTGGGCTTGGTGGGTAAACATTTTCATAGCTTTTAAAATTAAAATGGCTCTGAAAAAGCCTACAGACATTCTACAGCGATGTGTTCTGGAAGGCGTTTGTTACCAGTCATGGCTGCCCAGCAGAAAAGGACCTTAGGGTGCTGGTCGACAGCCAGCTGAACATGAGCCAGCAGTGTGCCCAGGTGGCCAAGAAGACCAACGACATCCTGGCTTCTATCAGGAATAGTGTAGCCAGCAGGAGCAGGGAGGTGATCGTGCCCTTGTACTCAGCATTGGTGAGGCTGCACCTCGAGTACTGTGTTCAGTTTTGGGCCTCTCACTACAAGAAGGACATTGAGTTGCTGGAGCATGTCCAGAGAAGGGCAATTAGGCTGGTGAAGGGTCTAGAGAACAAGTCTTATGAGGACTGGCTGAGGGAACTGGGGCTGCTTAGTCTGGAGAAGAGGAGGCTGGGGGGGGCCCGAACTGCTCTCTACAGCTGCCTGAAAGGAGGTTGTAGTGACTCAGGTTTTGGTCTCTTCTTCCAGGCAACTAGTGATAGGATGAGAGGCAACAGCCTCATGTCACATCAGGGGAGGTTTAGATTAGAGATCAGTATAAATTTTTTCACACTAAGAGTGGTCAGGCACTGGAACAGGCTGCCCAGGGAGGTGGTGGAGTCACGATCCCTGGAGGTGTTTAAAAACGTGCAGATGTGACACTTCAGGATATGGTTTAGCAGGCATGGTGGTGCTGGGTGGATGGTTTGACTTGATGATCTTAGAGGTCTTTTCCAACCTATGATTCTATGATAGATTGCTTGGTACGAGACTGGTCCTTACGGACTTCTCCTTAGGGACTACATAAATAATGAACATTTAGATCATCCTTGTGTTTAGAACTCTGCAAAAGTTCAAAGCTAAGAACTTACAGTCAAAGTTCTCTCCAGCTTGCCGGTCACTGTGCTAAAGCAATAGAGCACAAAATCTTCACCAACACAGTAGATCCATTCACCACGAGGTGAAAGCGCACAGCAGACAAAGTCACCACCTTCTCTCTTACCAGAGCTAAAACTTCTTACAATCTGTAAAGACACCCCCCCAAAAATATTTTGCAGGATTAAACTACAGCACATCACTAGAAGGGCAAAAATATTTAGGCAGTACTAGGTCTGTTTAGAACACAGGATCTCCCCATAGCTGCAATTGCTTTCTGCAAGTCAAGCTGTTCTACAACCCAGGTACGGCACAGTTTGTCATGTAAGCAAACTGGAGAAAAATCAGGTTTAACCCAAAGCTATGTTACTAACTAGGTTTTTGGCATTCTTACAGTGGCAGAGAGAGAGAGAGGTGAAAGGACACCAGTAAGATCACATACTTGTCCTTGCATATTCATAATGACGACTGTATTTGATCTGTTGCAAACAACAAAATGTTCTGGGTTTTTAGGCAGGAGAATGACACTGTTCACAGTAATGTCTGTCCCAGCAGTGCTGCCAAGAGATTTGAAGGTGTTTGAGCACTCTGTTGTCTTCACATTCCAAACCTAGTAAAAAAAATAAAAGTAAAACCAATTAGCTTCAAAAAAAATAAACAAAAACGAGCTGATTCAGGAAACAGGATTCAGATTTTTTAAGGCTCCTGAAGGCAAATATGAATTACAAAACTGTAGTTTAAAGCAGAGTAAAAAAAATCACATCTATTTCATGGACACCATGAACAATTTCACTACAACTGTACTGAAGGCAAATTTCTATTAGCCAAATTCAGCCTGGCTCCCTTTCATTAAGCACATTACCTGGTTTCACCTGGTATCTGTGGATATACGTGCAGCCTCTGCACATGCAATTTGCCTTACACAAGACAGACATGAAAATTGCTGAACAAGCAAAGCCCCACTGGTATTGGTGGGAGTGACAGCTTAGAGCTGCTTCAGGCTCAACACCAGGCTGTTCTAGCTGTTTAGAAACAGGAAATGGAACTGCTTGTTTGATATTTGAAATAAAATGTAACCCACCATCTGTGGAATATTTTTGCTGTTTACATACCAGTACAATCAGAATCACAGAATGACAGGGGTTGGAAGGGACCCTCTGTGGATCATCTGGTCCAACCCCCCTGCCACCTTCTTCTGCTATTCCCACAACTGGGGCAGTCTAGCAAAGAGTGCAAGTTTGAAGTAACGCCCTATTGAATATGAGCAAAATCTATCACACTCTCCTAGGCCACACATATAAACCACATCTGTTCACCCACGCCCCATCCACTGTATTGATGCCCTACTTAATGTAGCTGTTTCTATATTCATTTACTGATTTAAGTCAGTAATGCCCTATACACAACAATGCTTTATTCCTCTTAACTTCTACACACTACACACAGAGTTGTCCCACTCCTTGCTGAGACTAGAAGCCAAACCTATCACTTCTCCAATCAGTTTCATACATGCTAGATTACACAGCTTACATGGCAAATCACTCCTGAGCACCAAGAAATAAACAGGTGTCCAACACAGTAAGCAAGAAAATGCCATTATTTCAGACAAGGGAATCCCCACATTCTAGGACAAGAGGTGTCACAATACTATTTCTAGAATAAAGCAGGAACAGGCAGGTTAAGTACTGCACTTACGTCCCCCTTTTATAAATACAGCAGAAACAGGCTCTGCAGCAGTCTGCAAGCACAGTATGGAACTTCACCAGTTCTCATTTACACCAATCTACAGCAAAGCTCGTAAGCAGAAAGACTTACTATTACAGATAACCCCAAGTCCTTCTCCTGCCACTGCAGCAGTGAAACCAGCTACGGCATGCAGAGTCTGAATGTGTTATTTACAAAGGGCAAGTACTATCTTACCTTCACTGTGCCATCAGAGGATGCACTGATAATATAATGGCCATCCTGGGTAAAAGTTGCTTCATTGACGAAGGACGAATGACCGCGGAATTCCTTTAAAGTTTTCCCAGATTTTAAACCATGAATCCTGTCACACAACAGAGGTCACAACTCAGTGAGTAGCTGAGGTAGTCTGAACCACCCTCTGGCTTCACCATACTTTAAATCTGAGATAACTTTGTTAGGCAACAATAAAAAGTACTAAAAATCTGCAAGTCGTAAGTCTTTATCACAAAAGCCCATTTCACCAAAGACATCATGTTTTCCTGTGAAAGGCTTGGGGAAATACCATGAAATTTCAGCCTCAAGCACCTGTATGTAATATACACTGTACATGTTAGATGACACGACTACGAAAGGGGAAACCATGAAGCTGACAAAACAAAAATTACAGAATTAAGTCTGAAAGTCTCCAGTCCAACAGACTCTTCCAACTTTAAGTGAGGTCAGGGCCTTGACCAAGGCCTTGTCCAGTTAAGAAAAACTCTTTCCTTACACCCATCCAGAATTTTTCTCTTCTGCAAGCTGTTGCCATTGCCTCTTACTCTGTAACTGTGCAAAGAGTTTACACAGTAATCTAGAAGGAAATTATATTGCTCATCTGCATCAGCCTTAAGCTGTAGTACCTAATGGCTACAGAAATACGGTTTTCAAGCAGAAGTCCGAAGCCTTGAGCATGAAATGCCTTATTCCATTTGAAGCTTGCTGTCCTTGATTCAGCGTCAAACCTTACATAATTTTAATTAAAATGCTTATGCCACAATTCATATATATCAAGATTTAAACAGGTTAACATGTCTCATTAAGATGTTTCGTAATGCCTGTTCACTGTGCAGTTGCCTCCAGATCCACACACTTCTTCATTTTCATCTAAAGCAGTACCACTGGGTTTTACAGTACAGGCAAGAGTCTAAAGTTATTAAACATATTACATAATCCATTACATAATAATTACATAATTACAATTCAATTAAACATCAAACATATTCAGTCATCAAGCACTGGATTAATCTGATTCACAATGTAAGTCCCATATTCTGCAACTCCATTTTGAAAAAGACAGATGAGGAAGTTGGAAACCTTGACAAACCGGACAGATGGACTGAGAGAAACCTCACGCTGTTGAGAAGAGATTGTTGCAGAACCACCTCAGGCATCAGAATCAACTGGGGGCAGAGGAGGTCTGCAATGAAGGACCTGGCAGGCCTTGGGGACAATGAAGCGAGGGCCAGCAGTGTGCTGTGGCATTGAGGAAACGCAGACACACACCAGACACATTAGGAGAGGCACAGTGTGCATACCAAGGTTCCCCCCTGCTTGGCAGAGGTGAGGCCACCTCTGGAGGACTGTGTCCAGTTTTGGACCCCCACTAAGAGGCCTCTAAGATGGCCAGAGGGACAGATCACAGGACGCATGAGGAGGGGCTGAGAGCTCTGCATGTGTTCACCCAGAGAACTGAAAGTTCAGGAGCATCTAATTGCCATCTTCCTCGTAGTCAAAAAAGTTAAAACAAATTACTATTAAGTAAGTCAGAATAACCCCAAAGAAAAATAACTGTCAACTAGACAAAACCAGTCTAGGCTGCTTTCAACTGCAGCAAAGTGCCTACATAGCAACAGAAGAGCTTTGTTGCACACCAAACCTACCCAGCAGTGAGCAAATTCCACTGAGTAACAAGACACCAAACAGGAGCAGGACCAAAATTACTGCACTACACAAATGATAAGCAACACCTCCCAGATGCAAAGAGCTGCAGGAACAAGGTTTTGATGAGGTTGCTGCCCATCTAGTAACTTAGATCAGAACAGAGTTTGAGTATTTTTGTGACTATGTGCTAGTATTAAAAGTTACAAATAACTTCCATTCTTGCTATTTTCCACCCTGCAATGATGCTTAAAAAAAAGAAAAAAAAAAAGATATCCAAGTCCTTAATAAATACCTGGAAAAAATGTAACAATTTGGTTAACATCACTACCTAACAAGTTTTTACAGAATAAATGGAATCAGATTCTTCTCAGACGTGCACAGCTAAAGGAGAAGAGGCAAAGTTACAGAAGAAACCAAAACAAAACCCCCTTGTGTCCAAACACCATTTTCTCCAAGAGGGTTGTACAGCCCTAAGGACAGATGCCAAGAGAAGCCGCAGGGTCTCCACCCATCAAGATTTTGAGAACTCAGCTGGACAGGGCCCTGAGCAAGCTGTCCTAACTGAATGGTTGGTTGTGCTTTGAGCAGCACATCGGACTAGAGACCTCTAGAGAGACCTTCTAAATTTAACTACTTTATAACTTATGCCTAGTCTGCCCTACACAAGTTGCACAGACACCTGAGCTTTCTCAGAGCACAGATGCAAGCCTAACCACCTTCATACCTGTCCCACAATAATCCACTGCTTTATCACGTTGTCACTTAACAGATTATCTGCACACAGGTAAACTGCAGTAACTGTATGCATGTAAGTCTTAGCACGTGGGAAGTGTCAGGTAAAGCAATGTTTGTTCAGTTTAGCCCAACCACATGAAGATTTTCTTTGTATTTTCTGTGGACAGACCTCGTATCCAGTCACCATAACTGAGCTAACACACTGTCAACTTGCTAAACTACACTAACTGGATTGCACACCAAAGCAGCTCCAAAGCTTGTGGAAAGATTCAACTCCCATTCCTGCATTCTGAAGATCTCAGCCTGTGAGCCTTCCAACACGATGAAGGGTTTCACTGCCCAAAAGGAATGCCACAGACACTGGGAAATTGAACTCTACCGTTTTTCAGTTACAAAAACATTCATATCCCAGCATAGTGCTGGTACTACATAGCAAAGGATGGTTTGCATGAGAAACGGAAAGAATTCCCATGCCCAAAAGCAGAACTGCAGAGACAGCCTGGAGAAATGGGAACTATCTTTGGGGAGTGAAGAGAAAAATGATCCTGCCTCTACGGCTCTTTTTCATCACTGAAAAAAGCTTCTCTCTCTTGGCAGCACAAATGTGTAAACCATCTGGCCATAAGATTTTTCTCTAACAGAGATTCCAAAACAGTGGTAGATGTCAGAAAATCACAGAATAACTTAGGCTAGAAGACCCCTCAGAGACCTCTGTTCCACTGCTCTCCTCAAAGCAGCATCAACTTCCAGGTCACTCATGGTCTTGGTCAATTTAGCTTTGGAAGTCTTCAGGGGTTGAGATCCCTCCCCAGCCTGAACCAACTCTCTCCGCACTGTCCAAGCACTGCTTCTTTCTCAAGGAAAAAATAAAACATTTTTCCTTACATAAAATCAGAATTTCACTTCCTGGAGGCTGTCCATTTTAGGAACTGTGCACTTGAGAAGAGTCTGTCTTTGTGTTATCTATGATTACCTCTAGATGAGGCAACCAGGTCCCTTCTCAGCCTTCTGCTTCCAGGCCGATCAGGCCCAGCGCTCTCTTGCCTTCCTTCCCTTATACACCACGGACATCTGAAGAGATACTCAGATAAAAAAACAGCACCCTAAATCACAGGGAAGGCTATACTGCCAATTCCAGACACAAATTGCAACTCCCACTCCTGAAGCTCTCAGGGTCTTCCAGGGTCGGATCTCTAGTATTCCATGTCAGACCGCTGGGAAGACAGTTCACAGGATCACAGAAGGGCAGGGACTGGAAGGGACCTCTGTGGGTCATCTAGTCCAACCCCCCTTCCAAAGCAGGGTTACCTACAGCAGGCTGCACAGGACCTTATCCAGCTGGGGTCTGAATATCTCCAGAGAAGGAGAATCCACAACCTCCCTGGGCAGCCTGTGCCAGGGCCTGTCACCCTCAGAGTGAAGAAGTTCTTCCTCATGTTCAGATGGAACTTCCTATGCTTCAGTTTGTGCCCATTGCCCCTTGTCCTGTCGCTGAGCACCACTGAAAAGAGTTTGGCCCCATCCTCCTGACACCCACACTTACAGTATTTATGGGCATTTATTAGGTCCCCTCGCAGCCTTCTCTTCTTCAGGCTGAACAAGCCCAGCTCCCTCAGGTCTTCTTCACAGGAGAGACACTCCAGTCCCCTCACCATCCTTGTAGCCCTCCACTGGACTCTCTCCAGTAGCTCTTCATCTTTCTTGAGCTGGGGAGCCCAGAACTGCTGCTCTCCAGCAGGTCCGCCCCAAGCCTGTACTGGTGCATGGGGTTGTTTGTCCCCAGGTGCAGGACCCTGCACTTGCCCTGGTTGAACTTCATCAGGTTCCTCTCTGCCCAACATCTCAGCCTGTCCAGGCCTCGCTGGATGGCAGCACAGCCTTCTGGTGTATCCACCACTCCTCCCAGTTTGGTGTCATCAGCAAACTTGCTGAGGGTACACTCTGTCCCTTCATCCAAGTCATTGATGAATAAGCTGAACAAGACTGGGTCCAGTACTGACCCCTGGGGACACCACTAGTTACCGGCCTCCAACCAGACTCAGCACCACTGATGACAACCCTCTGAGTTCGGCCATTCAGCCAGTTCTCTATCCACCTCACTGTCCACTCATCCAGCCCATACTTCCTGAGCTTCCCTAGGAGGATGTTATGAGAGACAGTGTCAAAAGCCTTGCTGAAGTCCAGGTAGACAACATCCATGGCTCCCCGCTCAACTATCCAGCCAGTCATGCCATCGTAGAAAGCTATCAGATTGGTCAAGTATGATTTCCCCTTGGTGAACCCATGTTGACTACTCCTGATAACCTTCTTTTCCTCCACCTGCTTAGAGATGACCTCCAGAAGGAGCTGTTCCATCACCTTTCCAGTGATGGAAGTGAGGCTGATAGGCCTGTAGTTCTTTGGGTCCTCATTCATGCCCTTTTTGAAGACTGGAGTGACATTGGCTTTCTCCGGTCCTCAGACACTTCTCCTGCTCTCCAGGACCTTTCAAAGATGATGGTAAGTGCCCAGAAATGCCCAGGAAACATTTTTTGGGGGTTCTTCTTCCTCTTGTTCACACTCTAAAGTGAGTTCTCTGGATCCAATAGATAGATGGGTGGATCTGGGGGCTGGGATTACAGAGATGGATTCAGGGTGTGAGCTGAGATAAGAAAGCTGGCAATAAGGGCTGGCAATGAATGACTTAGGAAGCAGCAACACGATGCAAAGTGATTGTCCCTCAATGTGTAGGGAGGCACCTTATCTCCTCTCACCCACATGCGGCTCACAGAGCCACAGACCCTTATTCAAGCCCACAGGAGAGCCATGACTATTGCTAATTGAGATTCCCTAGCACTTTCACACTTTTGGAAATTTTGCTCCATTCAGCAACTATCAGGGCAAAGCAGAGAAGATGCACCAAAATATTTAAAGCTTGTTCTTAGACGATTTCTCTAGAAGGTAGAAACAGAGGAGCTCACAACACTGCTTCACAAGGAAAATAAACTGGATGGAACCAACTACTGTCATGTCATCTGTTAAAGCTACTAAGTATGATTAGGCTGTTTAGACTGTTTTAAAAAATGTCGCCTTCCTATTAGCCTCAGATCTTTTTTACTCTAAGTTTATTATAAAAAATGTTATTTTTGAAGGTTGACACAACTGTTTCTTAAGCTAGGAGTTTCCCAGAAAGAAAATGAGCAAGGTCAATGCAAATGACAATAGAGCAGAAGTACTTGGTCCCCAGCCTTGTAATAATGCAAGTTAGGCAATGCGAAAGGTCAAACTTTTAAACCGTTCTTCTCCAACCCTCAGCAGTCGCCCCCACCTACTAGTATCAACACTCGAGGCAAAAGGATCAAATCCCAGGTCAAATATTCAAAAGTTTAACTGCTTAATGCAAAAATTCTGTTTTCTTTTCTCCTGCACTGTGTCTCACACATTCTCAGTTTATTTACCTGATTGTCTGATCAAAAGAAGCGCTAAGAATTTGGCTGCTGTCTTTAGAGAAACTGAGGCATGTAACACCTTTACTGTGTGCTCGTTCAAACCTTCTCAGGCACTGACCACTCTGGATTTTCCACACCTGGAAACAGCAAATGAAATAGAGGTGGTTACTTTGTTACGAGATCACAGAAGCTCAAACATCAGAGCCAATACTTATCTGCTTCTGAGCCATGCTAAACTTTATTTGTTTTTATATGGAATTGCAACATTACTGGAACTGCAAGTGAATCTTTCTGCGCACCACCTCTACCAACATACCATACAAAAAGATTTATACCTTGATCTTTCCATCTTGTGCTCCAGTTGCTAGCATTTCTGTATCTCTGCTGAAGCACATGCACAGCACTGCATCATCCATCATCATAAAGTTATCTTGTGCCTGGTATTTCAGATCCTAAACGAAAGCAGAAAATCCACCCATCAAAATAATGAATTCAGTTAAACATATTTTAAGGCAGAGTGCAAAAGCACTAGCAGTTTTAACTTCAGTTGTATTTTATAACCTATCATCAAGCAGACCTCACAGCCTTAGAACAGGGAAGTGCTACTGTCACCATTTCAGAGGCAACAACGATGAACCAGAAGGCTTAAAAAAAAAAAGTTATCACAGACTGAAGTCTATGACAAACCAGACAATTAAACTCATGTAAAGATTCCAGTCCTATATTTGAATCACCCAAGCAGATATCCTTTTCAGATTCACAGCACCTGAGAAATGAAATCAAACAAAGAATAATCTCAAACAATAAAGCCCTGGTCAATAAAGCCCTGGTCAATAAAGCTCTGGTCAAGGAACCATCTGTGTGAAATAAGGGGCAATTTACCTTTCTGATCTTTCCAGTAGTGAAGTTCCATACTTCAATGAAACCATCAACAGAGCCAGTAACCAGATACTGTCCATCTGGGGAAAACCGAGCACACTCCACATGCGACTTCTGCCCAAACTGTTTTATAGAAGAATACAAATTAAGCCTAATGAGCAATTTAAAAGAAGCAACTCATTAAAAAAAACTAATCTCATTTTGGTGGCAAAAATACAGTATTTTCTAGCAGTGTGCATTCACAAATTTAACATTTAAGGTACAAAAAACCCTGTAGATAACTACACACTAACACTTCAAAAATAAACAAAAACCCCTCTCTTTGATCTGGTGGTATCTGTGAAACTTACATCAAACACTCCATGCTTACAGCAGCAGTTGGGTTAGTTGTCTTAGTATTTTTGGCTTTGCAGTGAATTGTGTATGTTAACAAACACCTTTGCCGTTCCCAACATAAATCCCTAGCAGACTTCACGAATTTCTGAAATAGTACAAGGTGTTTCACTAGGAATGTTCCCCCAGTGAAATTTTCGCAGAAAATGCTTGGTATTTTTAATATACTATTTTTAAATTTTACATTTTTAAATACAAGCGACTATGACAACTGAGTATAGAAAAAAGTTTTCACTAATCAATACAAAAATCTAAGATCAGTACTGGTAAACAAAACAAATGCTAATAAAGCATATTTACCAAGCTGCTACTGAACACAGCAAACTGATTTCAACCAATTCCAACTCATGACTTCTGAAAAACATCTTCCATTCAGTGTGATAACTGGTAGAGCTACTACAATGAACTGACACTTCACACAATACAGAACTGCTTGGTGAAGCTGAAAAGTCTTCACAGGAGGAAACTGCCTATTCCGTTTTGAGTGCTGCAGCACAACTATGTCATTACAGCACAGTTTTATTTCTCTTTTGAAACCTGTATGATAAAATTCTTTCAAAGGAGATACTGATCATGTTAGTTTGCTGATGACGCAAAACTGGGAGGAGTGGTAGATACACCAGGAGGCTGTGTGTTGGGGTTGATGTAGTTTGAGAGTTAGCATGACTAGGCTGCTTAAGCAAAACGGTTAGCATAGCATAGGCCGCTGGAAAGAACAGCTAAGAATAGCAATTGAGAAAGTTCTGATAGTGTGCATGATGTGGGTTAGCAAAAACAAGATGTGTTCAAGGATGTGGAGGCGGCCTGTTGCTATTGGCTTTAGTGCATAGTTACCAATCATAAGGGAATGTGGGGCGTGTGAACAGCGTGTGATTTATGTCTGCAGCCTATCCGAATAAGCGTGATCCCGTGTACAGATATGGAAAATGCATATAACCGCACAAGCAGGAGAATAAAGTGTTCCGACTGTGTATCTTAGCAATGTGTGTGAGAGTCATTCCTGTCCTTTCACGGATGCTGAGACCCGGCATTTTGGTGACCCTATGGATTTATTATCGCAGCCAGAAAAAAAAAGGCACGGGACTGCCAGCTGGCGAGGTAAGCCGGGCTGCCCGAGAAAGGCAGGAGCGGATCCGCGGCACGCCGGGGGGGGTGTGAACATCGGCAGTGTGGGTTCCACTGTATCAGCGTCAGAAAACATGGCACTGAAAAGCCTGTTGGAATTGGTGGATCGAGCCAACGCTAAGTTAACTGAAGGAGACATAGCGGGACTATTATGGTGCCGCTGCCGAAAGCTGATAACAACAATGGATCAGCTGTTCGATCTGGATGCCTGGCACAGAGTTGGGATGGACTTGTGGGACTCTGTGCAGGTCGGAAACAAAGAG